CAGGGGGGACGCGGGCCGGTGCCGGGGGTCGATGCCCGCTCTGCCCGCTGCCTCGGAGCCCTACGGGGCTGCCGGCGTGGAGCTGCCACCCCGCAGTGCTGCCTGCCCCGGCTGCACGTTCCACGTGTATTTGTTTGAACAGCTACTTGCCCATTCCGCCCCGACCCCGGCGCGGTCCGTGTTTGCTCATGAACTGGTGGGGGTGGTGCAGGGCGGAGACCGAAAGGCTGGCAATCAGGAGGAATTTGGTCGCAGGAAGGGTGATTAGACACTGGGACGGGCTGCCCACGGAGGTGGTGGAGTCATCGTCCCTGGAGGTGTTAAGAAAAGACTGGATGTGGCACTCCGTGCCATGGTCTGGTTGACCACGGCAGTGCTGGCTCACTGGTTGGACTCGATCACCTCAAGGATCTTTTCCAACGTGATTGATTGTTGTGATTCTGCAAAGCGCAGTCTGGCGGGAGAAAGAGAATTAATCCAGGGTGATTTTCCCAAATGCGTTCTCCTAGGAGCACGCAGTGTTAGTGAGTTGGCGCCCTGTGGGAGGGGGAGGGAGCGCTCTGGCAGTCCGGGGCGCGCGCTGCACATGCCGCGCGGAGCTTTCCAGCGGCGCCGCTGGTGTGAGGCTCGGGAGTGTCCCTGTGCCAGACAGCTGCTCGTGCGGGAGCCCAGCCCGCTTCGGGCAAAGACAGTGTTTGCTCAGCTTTAGTTTGCATTAAGTCATCTTTGTTTTAGGATCACGCCGAAACAACCATGCGTGGTTCCACTTCTCTTATTTGAAACGTGTGTTGTAAAACGCTACAGGATAGGGAAGAGAGCTACATGTGGAAAATGCACACGTATTTAAATTGGCCGTTTTTTTTTTTCTTTCGTGGAAAAAATATTTTAACTACTCGTTTTCAAGTACCTTTCAGCAGAATTGGGAAGGATTATTTTTGCTACAAAAGGCAGGAACAAAATGATCTGGTGGCTAATGACAGACAGACAACAAGCTAATGATAATTTTCAAAAGTGGTAGTTAACTTGGAATGTTACAGATTCTATTCCCTGAGAACAGAATTCCTCAGATTAAATCTCTGTGCTTTGACAGAGGGTGTGCTTTAAATAAAATTAAATCCTGAGAATAAGAATATAAATATATAACTGGCCACGCATTTATAAATCTTGAAAAGGTTAGTGTAGAGTCAGTGGCACATGAATGAGTGAAGTAACAGGAAACTTCAAGAGAGAGGAAGCACTTTTAGGGCAGATGTTTAAATTACTATTTCTATTCTTCTAAGGATTTGAATATTTATATCTTAAGTCATAAAAATACACACACTTGAGGGGAAGAAAGAAGTTCAGTTTTTGATATTTTTATGATTGTAGTGGGCGAATCTATCATCAGAGTGTTTTTCTGGTCTGTCAGGCAAGAAAGAGCAAACATATGTTAGCTTCATCATGGAATTTTTCCCATGGCACCAGAAGTCAATGTATATGTACTTATGTTGATATACATTTAGGGGTTGCTTCAAGTAGTCATTAACAGAAGCTTATGTTAATTTAAAACATGTAAACCAGAATTGATTTATATTAAGTATAGAACTTTCCATATCACCTCTGACTTTGAAAGGCTGGTACTTCTGGTGTCTTTGATTTATTTTTTTCATGGAATGTATTCCTTCAAGTTCATGATCATAGTCAGTGAATTTCTAAGCACCTGATTTTCTTTAACATGAATTTTTCTGTCTGCTGAGATGACATAATAAAATCTTGCTCACATAAGCTAGAACTATGAGAAAGATGTGGAATTTCATATTTAAATTCAGTAATGGCTTGCTGTTTCATTTAAATCAGTTTTAACAAATTAATGTAGCTTTCTTTATTCTTAGAAGTGATTGGATAATATATTAATCAAATTTTACTTAATTCTTTCCCTGAATTTAAGAACTTGGAAAGATGGCTGCGTTCTGCACTGTGAAATCAAAGTCCAGAGACCATTTAAGGGACAATAATTGCAGAAAACAAATAAAGTAAGTGTTTCCCTCTTTCTACCCTTGCTAAAAACACCAGTGTTTTTAAAGAATAAAACTTCACTTCCTGTGCTTTCAATTTTTAACATCTCTGCTAGGAATGCCTCTGGGCATTACAAGCTGATTTTTCACAGGACTCAGTACTTTGAATAATACAGATTTTGAATTATATATATTTTAGTAATATGGGGTTGTGGAATGCATATTAATTTTTCACCTAAGACTCTGTGTTTATTTTAAACTTAATGCATCTTGTTGTGGACTTGCTTAGGAAGAGGAGAGGGTGAATTTATGATAGTCAAAGCAATAGAGGACATCAAGCTGCAACCTGTTGAGCAGAAGTTGAAGTATCAGGGATCATCTGTTACATTTAATTCCTTTTATCCATCTGAAAGAAACTGCACATATGAAGAACAAAAAATGATGTAACCAAGCCCATAGCTTTTTTTGGACATTAGTTTTGAATAACATGGACACAACAGTGGTATGCATGAAGAATAAAATGGCAAAAACCAGTTTTAAAGGTGAGTATCACTTATAACGATATTATTATGAAAGGACAATGAAAATACTTCTAAATGTTCAATAATAAATTGAAAGGGGAATTAATTAGAAGGAATTACTGCAATTTAATACAACTAAGATTAAGAAAAGTCAAATGAAGCAGTACCTGAATTCTCAAATTAAATTGCATTTAGAGTGAAGGTGTGCCAACAGTAATAGCAGTAAGCTGATACAGAATAATTAAAGAGTGCCTGGGTTCAGGAGTTTCCTTTTGTGCACCATAATTTGCTTTTTCCTGTATCAACAAGATTGTTTCTAAATATACTTTTGAAAAGTAATTTTATATATATATATATATATATATATATATATACATGTACACTTTTTTTTTGTTTTTGTTTTACTTGTAATGTTATGGTTTATATTTGCTAGTTTTTTTCTTTTCTGGGAAGTTACAAAGAGGCTAAATAGCCTCCACTTATCCTAGGGCTTCTTTTCACTCTTCCCTCTCAGTTTATTATTCATTTTACTTCATGTTATTTGACTCACAGAATTACAGAATAGTCTGTGTTGAAAGCTGGATCCATAAGGATCATCAAGTCCAGCTCTTCAGAAAGTAGAAATACTGGGTTTGAATCTGCAACCCTGGCATTATTAGCACTATTCTCTAACCACCTGTGTTAATATCAGGGCATTTATCCCTTCTTACAATGATCAAATGATCATGTCCTCTTTAAAATTAAGTTTTGAATTTATTTGTTCTTCACATACACTCTCTTTTGGGTCCTCATGTTTGTACTGAGGACAGAAAATGATTAAGCTCTAAACAAAAAGTCATGATCTTGAGGTTTGTGCCTACCACAGGTTTCCACAGGTGGTTGCATGGTGCTTTTCTGAGCTCCGTGTCCCCTGCTGGCCCCTAGAACAGTACGTGGAAGCTTGTCCTGTTAGCATGTGCTCCATTGCCATACAGAACATTCCCCCTGCTGCCACAGAATATGGTGAAGGACTTTATGTATTGACATAAGCTAGTAAAATTAACCTTTCCTTTCATGAATACATGCAGACAGTTCTGAATTGCTGTAATGTTTAATATTGACGGTGGTTTGTGGTAAGGAGTTCCATAACTCAACCTGGCTTTGTGTGAAAAAATTAGATTACCCTTCATTATGCAAAAAATTGCATTGTTTTGTGTATTTTGAGATTGCATCCTCTGCTCTTAGTTTGTTTTTTTTTCAGCTCTCTAGCTGTTCTGTTATTTTTAAACAGGAAGTTTAGGCATGTGACTTTCAGGTTGAACTGATACTTCAAGTGCTATCTTGCTTCCAATAATTGTATAATAGGTGCGTTCTATATTAACATTTGCTGCCTATCTTTATTTTCTCTCATTGGGAGGTTGTGTCTCTGGAGAAATGTGGTTCCTATGGTATATTCTCATATTTTTATTATCTGCATGAAGAGCACTAGGGTGAGTCTGCTGTACCAAAGTCCTCCACTTCAAGTAGTTGCAGAACTAACACTTGGCAATACTAATAAGGCTACATACAGTACATATGCAAGATCTGCATGTACTGGTTAAATAATCTCTTTATGCTTAAAAAGTGTGTTCAGTACTGACAAGAATATATAATGAGGTTTGGAAAGTTGCAGGTGTGCTGTGTGCAGGAAAATATTGTGATTGGGTGCATTGTTTTCTGTACTGCAAAATGAATTATTAGTGTGTAGGTTCAGTTTGAGTAAATCTCAGTAAATTACTGGGCAAGATTAAGGCAAGAGACGTGCAGAGAAGTTCTGGCGCTTTTAAGAGACAGGTCTAAGTACTTCCAGTGTGAGGAACTAGTGGAGTTCTGTGGCTGACTGTTGTGATTCTTTTTTGTACAGATAACCAAGTAAAGAAGAAGATAATTTAATCTTCTTAAGAAAAATCCGTAACTTGCTGGCTGCTATCTGAGACAATACGGTTTCTTTTAGTTCAGTTATAGCGGCTGCACATTTAGATCAAGAACTGAAGGATTTTTCAGCTTCAAGAAAGAATTCGTTATCTCCAATGTAATGTGATTGGCAGGAATTACAATCTATGATGACAGAGAGAGGAATATGATATGGAATAACGTTTCAAATATTGATGCCAGTTGGCTTAATTTGTGAGACTACTTAAGAGACTTACTAAGGCAGATGGGAGTTTGATTTGGTTCTTGTTTGTTACTTCGGTTGTTTTTTAAAATGCCACTACTGACTGATTGAAAGGTTTTGGAGATATTTTGCAGCTTTAAGGTAGACCGTGCTTCCTAACCATTTCAAGTACCAGAATAGTAAAATACAGCATCAGAACAATAAAAGATGAGTGTAAATGATGGAAAGAACCAAACTGCCTTAAAAATTAAAAGATTAAAAATTCTCATAAGCAAAATGAAAGGAAGTAGTAAGCTCATTAGAACTTCTCTGAATAATGAGTACATGCATGTCTTAAGGACATAGTAAATTACAGGAGAAATAGAGACTGGCATGTCGATACAGCTTTAAACAAGTGCGCGAAACAAAGAAGTGAGGAATTAAGGACGTTTTTATTTTGGGGATGTTGCTGTGGTTTCACTGAATTACATCACCCATTTCTAAGCATCTCCTTCTTCTTAACAGTTTATTTTTGGGTTTATCAGCACTTTCTTTCCTTTATGGTTATCTTTTTCTATCAGAATGCTCTGTGTTTTGGGTTGAGGATTATGCGCTTCCTTAGTGGGGTAATAGGTGTTTTGTTGGGAAAGCAGTAGACAAGGGATAAAAAGAAGTTGATGATTACAGACTGGAATTAAACAAAGATTCATTGAGGAATGTGACTGATACAAGTAGCTAGCCAAGAAGAGAGTTCCATTAGGAATGGAACAGAGAGGATCAAGGCAACACAAATTGCTTTAGTTCTATGGCTTAAATAACAGTCTTGAAATTCTGAGTCACTATATCTCTGCCTTAGGAAATTTTATGTAAAACATACTGTCAGAAGATGGTTTTAGTCAACCCCAGTAATTAAAGATATCTACTCATGTTCGTGTCACAGTACAGTCAGAATTAAAATTATGTGAACATTTCTCTTGTAGACATCCTTTTATGTATAAAAGTTGTGTGCTTGGTGTAGATGAACGGAAGATCTCTCCAGTTGGCTTTTTTTTTAGAAAAAAGAAGACAGAAAAGTAGTAAGTAAAGTTCAGATGGTTCATTTTTGTCATGCACAATTTAATTCGTTTTCTGGCATAGTGTTTCTGCAAGATAAAAATCCAGTTAATAAGTCAGATTTTTTTAGGCAGCTACAAATTATAAGTATATAACTTTATGGCTGGATTACTTCATAAACAATGGTCTGAAGTATTTTGAGTAGTACTTAGAGTACACTCAAAGCCTCATCAGCTATTATTTTATCTTTGTTATTCAATAAATGCTTATTAACTGTGCACATTTGTCCTTCTACTGTGGTTTTTGTATAGCATTATTAAAGAATGTGTGTAATGTAACTAGAATCCACTTGGAGATCACTGAAATGCAACTGCTTTTTCTTTCAGAAATAGTATTGCTTTTGTGTACTAACAATTCAGTTATGTATTTAGAGTATAAAAATAAGAATAGTGTGTCTGTTTCTGGCATAGAGAAGGAATTCAAGTAAGCATAATGTAACCAAGTGATCTGGAATTTGGCTAGCATTCTAAGAACAAATGCCAGCACTTAAAAGCCTTGGATAGTTCTTTCTTGTTATGTTGAAAGGGAACATTGGTCAAGCATCCTCTACATTGGAAGCATTCCTGGTAAAACATCAGGTTTTCAACATTGTTCTTTAATCCACAGTACTTAGCTAATTAGGGTAAAACTGATGATGTAAATAGTTAAAGTGATTTATTTTGATGTAGCTAGACAAAGGAGAGGTTCTAGGCTAAAATGCCCAGTTGCTTCTTTTAATAAAAAATAAATTATACATCATGGCACGATAATGCTAGTACACAGAATTTAACTTCTTTTCTACAATACAGAATATAACTTCTTTTCTACAATAATGATTTATCTTTCAAGTTGCTCTTTTCTCTCCTCTTGTGCCAGTATAATTTTGCTCTCAGGCTGATTCCAATAGATGTTTTCTTTTCTTTTTGATCCAATAGAGGTTTTTTTTCCTTCTTGAGTGTAGGAGTTGCTGATAATGACAGGGGTAGTATTGTGCTTCTGCTTGATGGCTATAGAAATACAATTTTAACAAAACTTTGAATTATTCATAAGCAGTTTCTCTGACTAGAAGAATTAAACAGAAATAAACAGCCTGCCTTAAAATAAGTAAAATTCTATAAAAAAGTTTAATTTAATATGGAATGTCTGAGCACAGTCCCTAGTGAAAGATGAAAAAGAAGCCATCCAATTGCTTGTGTTTTGCAGTGTGGCACAGATAAGCATTTCAAACAAGTTACAGAAATTTAGCAACTTGTGTGGGGAGGTATTGACTGCCTTTCTGTTACTGATGGATC